TCTGGTATTCTCTGGAAGTTTCTGGCCTGGTGTGAGTCAGGAGGATGAAGGTAGAGCCTTGCTGACCGTATGCGTGGAGGCTGGATGTTAGCATTTTTGCCCTTTTAGTCCTTTTCAGCACCCGGCTAGCCTCCTCCAAGGTACAGCTAGGAGGCCTAAAATCTTTCATGTCCTCTCCTCACCCCTTCGGTTATTGTATTTTATAGAATCAGCATCACGGCTTCTTTCATCTAATCCTCTCACTTTACATATCTCAATTGCCACTGAGAAGTTATTTCGGTTGGTGCCGGAGATCACAGGGCTGTTTGTCAGTGGAGTAATTGCCAGAAACCAGAACCAAGGGCCTTCTATTTTTAGCCTGGGCTTTTTTGAGGGAAGCATGAGATGACTGGCTAAAATGGATTTGCCCTCTTATATTTGTGTCCTTAGGCCCAAATGAAGTCTAGGTTTGAGACTAAAGTGGAAGGGAACAGACACGATATTAAAGGACCAGTGGAGGGGACAGCTTCCATCGGACATTCAGAAGTTAAAAGGAGCACGAATCCGGGCCAGAGAAAAGGTGCCCTGAAAAAATTCAGTGTTACGTTAAAGGGATCCTTAGTTTCAAGAGTGGAGAGAAGGCCACATAATCAAATGTATGTCTCCTCCTTTAGTCTCCTCACTAAAGTACATGGCAATTTTAGGCTTTTATTATTTCATTTTTTAGAGATGGGTTTTTGCCGTGTTGCCCAGGCTGTTCTTAAACTCCTGAACTCAAGCTATCCGCCCACCTTGGCCTCCTAAAGTGTTAAGATTACAGGTGGTGAGCCATTGCACCCAGCCTGGCTGTATTACTTAAAGAAATCACCTAGGCCAGGCGCAGTGGTTCATGCCTGTAATCCCAGCACTTTGGGAGGCCAAGGCGGGCGGATCATGAGGTCAAGAGATCGATACCATCCTGGCCAACATGGTGAAACCCCGTCTCTACTGAAATACAAAAAATTATCCAGGAGTGGTGGCGCATACCTGTAATCCCAGCTACTCGGGTGGCTGAGGCAGGGGAACTGCTTGAACCGAGAAGGGGAGGTTGCAGTGAGCCAAGATCACACCACTGCTCTCCAGCCTGGGCAACAGAGCAAGACTCTGTCTCAAAAAAGAAATAAAAATCTTCTAGAAGAGATTCACAAGACAAAGAAGAAGAAAAATAATTAGAATTTTTTTTTTTTTTTTTTTTTTTTTTTTGAGACAGAGTTTCGCTCTTGTTGCCCAGGCTGGAGTGCAATGGCGTGATCTCGGCTCACTGCAACCTCTGCCTCCTGGGTTCAGGCAATTCTCCTGCCTCAGCCTCCTGAGCAGCTGGGACTACAGGCACGTGCCACCATGCCCAGCTAATTTTTTGTATTTTTAGTAGAGACGGGGTTTCACCATGTTGATCAGGATGGTCTTGATCTCTTGACCTCGTGATCCACCCGCCTCGGCCTCCCAAAGTGCTGGGATTACAGGCGTGAGCCACCGCGCCCGGCCTTTTTTTTTTTTCTTTTCTGAGACAGAGTCTCACTCTGTCGCCCAGGCTGGAGTGCAATGGCATGATTTCAGCTCACTGCAGCCTCTGTCTCCCAGGTTCAAGCAATTCTCCTGCCTCACTCTCAAGTAACTGAGATATACAAGCATGTGCTATCATGTCCAGCTAATTTTTAAAATATATATAATTTTTTCAATACAATATAACAACTGTTTACATTGTATTAGGTATTATAAGCAACCTAGAGCTGACTTAAGTGATATGGGAGGATGTGTGTAGGTCACATAGGAAGTTGAGCATCTTCAGATTTTGGTATCCAAGAGAGGTCCTGGAACCAATGCCCCATGGACACCAAGGGACGACTGGACAGCCATTATAACAGTATAAGAAACATTCTGCAATCTATAAAGGTAATGGAATTAATGTGGTGACAATTAACAATACTCTAAAGCACTTTAAGGCTCTAAACTTTCACTAGCTCCAGAGTGAGGGAGAGAGCAGAGATAGCACAGACCAGGTCCTACGGTCTCCCCCAAATCCAGAAAAACCGCAGCTGGGGAGACTGACAGAAGTGCTGGAGAGGAAGGGAGGCAGCAGGACGTGGAAGATCTGGGACTCAAGAACATTTTCTGCTATTAATTAGCTGTGTCTGATATCAGGCAAATCACAAAGTCTCCAGGCCCCCAAATCCCCCTTCGCAAAACGAGGTGACCTGACTCAGTTTTCCTCCATCCAGTGATAAAATTCTACTAAAAAATTTCCAACCCCAGAGCACACACCCGGACTGTGCCTAAGGGATCTGGCTGCATCTCAGTAATATTCCACTCTTACAGGTTTAAACAAACGAAAAAAAGATATAGAGAAAAGAAGACGGTTTCACCAGCGTCAGTTGAGAAGAGCTGCTTCAATGGGCACTGCTTTATAGGGGAAGGTGTGGAGAAGGGGAGTTGGCCCAGAAAACAGGGCCCTCATTTGCTGGAGCCCCCAGGGAAGCTCCCCCACACCTACACAGCCTGCATCGTTTACAGGAGCCAAAGGGGTTTTTAAAAAATCAACTCTGGGCCAGGAATAGTAGTAGCTCATGCCTGTAATTCCAGCACTTTGGGAGGCTAAGGTGGGTGGATCACTTGAGGACAGGAGTTCGAGATTAGCCTGGCCAGTATGGTGAAACCCTGTCTCTTATGAAAAATACAAAAATTAGCTGGGCGTGGTGGCACATGCCTGGAATCCCAGCTACTCTGGAGGCTGAGGCAGAAGAATTCCATGAACCCAGGAGGTGGAGGTTGCAGTGAGCCGAGATCGTGCCACTGCCCTCCAGCCTGGGTGACAAAGCAAGACTCCATCTCAAAAAAAAAAAAAAAAAAAATCAGCTTTTTAAGAGTTGTTGCTGTATCATCGTGTGGTTGACATCCTAACCTAGATAGTATCACTAATCTCTCCCCTTGGGTTTGACCGCCTAAAACCAAGCCATGAGAGGGGTGCCACCACCTCGTCCTTGGCTCCAAGCTTTGTGTGCCCCGGAGAGCTCCATTTTAGGTCATTGCTTCAGTTTTTTTTTCCTAAAATAATTAGGCTGCTGCTAGGTCAGCCTGAGACCACTTCCGCCCCGAGAATTCCAGACCAGTAAGACCTGGTGACACACAACGAAGATAAGTTACAGTAACGACGTAGCCCTTGATAGCTACATGAGGGTAGCGTTCTGATCTTGAATTAATGGACGACATCGAGCTTATGTGGAGGAAACGACAAAGAACAGGAGAGAGGTGGGAAAGGAAGACCTAGACAGAAAAGAGAACTTGGGCAGCAGCACCCCGAAAGGAAGACCAACCCGCAAGTGCGAGGACAGCGCAGAGAGGCGGCCCAGAAGCCCCCAGTTCAGCTGCCACCCCACCCCCGCCATTCCCCAAAGCAGGCACAGGCGATAGGGCGGGGCGCGCGTGCGCAGTCACGCGCTGCACCAACCTCCACAGCCCCGGGAAGGCGGCCAGGACCGGCTGGAGCCGGTTAGAACCGGTGGCACCCGCCCGCGAGCCAGCGCCTCACAAAGGGAGGGCGGCTCACGGCCCCCGCGTATCCCTGCGCGGTGCGGCGCTTGCGAGCCGCCCCTCCCCCTGGCTTTGTCCCCTCTGCGGCCCCGCCAGCTGCCCAGGCGCTCCCCGCCCCCCCACCCCGCCCCCGTTTTCTCCGCGGCCTGCGGATGCTTCTGGAAAGAACTGGGGACCCGCACTGGCCTGTCACCTGATTTCTCAGGCGCCGCGCCATTTGAGCGCCGCGGAAGGCTGGCGCCGGGAAGCCTCAGCCTCCCAGAAGGCAGGTTCCCGCGCCGCTTCCCCGAGCCCAGGTGTCCCCGAGTCCTTGGGACGCCGCGGCGAGTTGTGTCGTCACGTTAGCCGCCCCTTTAGGTGGGTCCTTCCACGTGGTGGGCACAGAAAGCATTCAGACCGTGCCGTTTGGTCTTGGCATCTGGAGAAAAGCTTTATTTTTCCTCCTGCTGCGGTTCAGAAAGTCTCCACCTCAGACCTAACCAGACGTTACGCAGAATCTGCGAAGCAAAAACCCCCCTAGAAAAGCAGACCCGGCGCGGGGTGTCCCTGGCGGGCTGCCCAGGCCCCTGTGTCTTCGGACACCGGCCGTTCGCTTGCCGGGCGGCTTCCAAAGGCCGCTCGAACTGGCTCTCCGTGGCCATTTGCCTTGTGAACACGTTCAGGAGCTTGGACGCTGCAAAACGGCTCCCGTTGGCAAGGAGCAAAGGGGCGTCTCGGGCTTGCTCGGGAAACGTCCCCGCGGGCCGCGGGGCGCGGCCGGCCTCAAGGGGCCGCAGGTCAGAGCGAGCCCCGGGCAGCGCGTGGACCCCCGGGGCGCAGGCTGGGGGCGGCTGTGGGGTGTGGGGTCGGGGCGTTTTCCAACATTGGGATTTTCACATGTCTGAGACTTCTCAAAGCGGACAGCCCGTGCTGCTCGGATTTCCCGCATAAAAGGGGCAAGCAAAACGTGGGGCTGGCTCCGGAGCGGGTCGCAGGACCGCAGGCAGCGAGCGCGGGGGAGGGAAGTCCGCCATGTTGCCACTTCTCTACCGTCCCGGAAAGGCTGGGGTTCAGTGGCGTCGTGTAAAACCAGTCCCTGAGCTAGCCCACCTTCACCTTCCTTCAAGGGGTAGGAAACGATCCCTACTGTCCCTCAAGAAAACACAAACAGCATTTTAAGAGGGATTAAAAACGTTCCGGGGGAGGGGGTTGGGAGGTGGTCGATGACCCGTTTAAAATGTGATTCCCACGTTTCTTTTGTCTCAAGTTTTCAGCTCAGATCTTTCCACAGGCTAGCAATTTAGAGATTTCTGAGTGCGCAGTTTGCAGCCAAGCTGTTAGGAAAAATCTAGAAAAGTCTCGTAGAACCATTATCTATTTTTAACCCTGCCGAGGGACTATTTTTTTTGCCTCCCTCACAAAGACGGCGGAAGGTGACTGGATTCCGGGGATGTGAGCTGTCCTCCGTCTATAAATACGCCTCGCCCGGGCTGTGCGGCAGGCATTGAGGCAGCCAGCGCAGGGGCAGGAGGCAGGCGCAGCTTGAGGAAACCGCAGATAAGTTTTTCTCTTTAAAATAAGATAGACGTTAATACAACTGCTTAAATATAAATAGCCGGTAGCTTACTAAGATAATTGCTCAGCATTAAGTTCTTAATTTAATGTTAATAGTTTAAAAAGATTTTTTGATCGTCTGCGCGCGTAAGAGAAAAAAGTTAAAAAGATGAGAAGAGAAAATAGGAAGATTTAAAAGAGTAGCATGAGGAAGGAAGAGAAGAAGAAAAGGTTTCTGAAGCATGACGGAGGTTGAGGTGAAGCTGCTTCATGGAGCAGAATATGTATTTAAAAGAAAGTTGAGAAGGAGGACTAGAGTCCTGAATTAATACGTTTAATTAGAAGGGCAGTGCTTTTAGATTATTAAAATGAAGGTTACTTAGACGTTAAACGTTAATTTAAAAAATCATAGGTGACTAAAATAGTTTGAAGGCGATCATATAAAAAGAGATTAAACCAAAGATGATTAAAAGACCTTGAAATCCATGACGCATGAAGAATTGCGTCATTTAAAGCCTAAGTTAATTTTAACGCGTTTACTAAGCGCAGACGAAGATAGGAAAGATTTATTTAATTGGGAGTGGTAGGAAGAAAACAATGTGGAGAAGAAGTTTGAAGTGGAAAATTGGAAGACAGAAGTACAGAAAGGCGAAGAAAAGAATAGAGAAGATAGGGATATTAGAAGATAAAAACACCTTTTAGAAGACAAAAAAAATCTGAGAAGTAGGAAGCAGAAGAAAAAAATTAGACAAGCTAGAAAACAAGAAAAAAAGCTAGAAAACAAGCAACTAAGGGCAAAATGTGCAAACTTAGAAGAAAACGAAGATAGAAACAAGCTAGAAAATATTGTCAAGAGTTTCAGATAGAAAATGAGAAGTTAAGAAGGACAAGCATAGAAGATAGAAAAATTGGATAAAATAGCACTGAAAAAATGAAATTATTGATAACCAATTTATTTTAAAAGCCCATCAATTTAATTTCTGATGGTGCAGAAGTTAGAAGGTAAAGCTTCAGAAGATGAGGGTCTTTACGTTATGTAGACCAGAAGCACTTTAGAAGAATATTTGAAGCTAGAAGGGAAGTCGGTTAAAATTCTCAACAAACAGCTGCTGAAAGGAATGGAGTAATTTAAAAAAATTAAGGCAGAAGGCTTTTGGAAGAGTTAGAAGAATTTGGAAGGCCTTAAAGTACGGTAGCTTAGTTTGAAAATTTAAAGGACTTTTGTAACGGAAGTAATTCAAGATCAAGAGTAATTACCAAGTTAATGTTTTTGCATTGGACTTTGAGCTAACATGATTTTTAAAATCTTGAGGACTAGCGTTAATTGACAGCTGACCCAGGTGCTACAGAGAAGTGGATTCAGTGAATCTAGGAAGACAGCAGCAGACAGAATTCCAGGAGCCAGTGTTTGGTGAAGCTAGGACTGAGGAGCAAGCAGCAGTTCGTGGTGAAGATAGGAAAAGAGTCCAGGAACCAGTGCGATTTGGTGAAGGAAGCTAGGAAGAAGGAAGGAGCGCTAACGATTTGGTGGTGAAACTAGGAAAGAGGATTCCAGGAAGGAGCGAGTGCAATTGGTGATGAAGCTAGCAGGCGGCTTGGCTTGGCAACCACACGGAGGAGGCGAGCAGGCGTTGTGCATAGATAGAGGATCCTAGACCAGCATGCCAGTATGCCAAAGCTACAGGGAAAGCGATTGGTTGGTAAAAATCCGTGAGGTCGGCAATATGTTGTTTGTCTGGAACTTGAGTATGGTAATCTTTTATTTACTTTCCTAATGTAATGGGGGAGCTTCGTACTGAGGTGTGAAGGGATTTATATGGGGATGTAGGCCGATTTCCGGGTGTTGTAGGTTTCTCTTTTTCAGGCTTATGCTCATGAATCTTGTCTGAAGCTTTTGAGGGCAGACTGCCAAGTCCTGGAGGAATAGTAGATGGCAAGTTTGTTTTTGTTTTGTTTTTCACCAATTTGAGGAAAACCAAATGAATTTGATAGAGCTAAAATTGAGACAATTTCAGCAAATCTGTAAGCAGTTTGTGTATGCTTAGTTGGGGTAATGCAGTGTTTCAGTTTTGTGAATAGATGACTTGTTTTTGCTTTCTCACCCTGAGTCAGTTTTCTAAATGTGGAGTTTGAATGTGTAACTGATGGGGGGAATTTTGATTGCTTTTTTTGTGGGGGTGGGGGCAAAATATGTTTTGAGTTCTTTTCCCCTTAGGTCTGTCTAGAATCCTAGATGCAAATGACTCAAGGTGTAACAGAAAACAAGAAAATCCAGTATAAGGATAATCAGAACACCACAGGTTTACAGTTTATAGAAACTAGAGCAGTTCTCACTTTAAGGTCTGTGGAGGAGCTGTCCATTGAAGAAATGGCTGGTAGTTACTCTTTTTTTCCCCCTCTCCCCTTAATCAGACTTTTAAAGTGCTTAACCCCTTAAACTTGTTATTTTTACTTGAAGTGTTTTGGGATGGTCTTAACAGGGAAGAGAGAGGGTGGGGGAGAAAATGTTTTTTTCTAAGATTTTCCACAGATGCTATAGTACTGTTGACAAACTGGGTTAGAGAAGGAGTGTACGGCTGTGCTGTTGGCACGAACACCTTCAGGGACTGGAGCTGCTTTTATCCCTGGAAGAGTATTCCCAGTTGAAGCTGAAAAGCACAGCACAGTGCAGCTTTGGTTCATATTCAGTCATCTCAGGAGAACTTCAGAAGAGCTTGAGTAGGCCAAATGTTGAAGTTAAGTTTTCAAATAATGTGACTTCTTAAAGTTTTATTAAAGGGGAGGGGCAAATATTGGCAATTAGTTGGCAGTGGCCTGTTATGGTTGGGATGGGGGGGGAGGGTTTAGGTAATTGTTTAGTTTATGATTGCAGATAAAGTCATGCCAGAGAACTTAAAAGTCTTAGGATGGAAAAGGTAAAGAAATCTCAACTTCCAAGTTGGCAAGTAACTCCCATTCCTTTAGTTTTTGTTTCCCCCAATTTTTTAATTGGGAAGCTGGGAGAAGTTAAATAAGAGCCACTGGGTGTACCAGTGCATTAATTTGGGCAAGGAGAGTATCATAATTTGATACTGTGTCTGTTTTCCCTCAAAGTATAGAGCTTGGGGAAGGAAAGTATTGGACTGGGGGTTGGTCTGGCCCACTGGGCTGACAGTAACTATTACGGGAAATGCAAAAGTTGTTTGGATATGGTAGTGTGTGGTTTTCTTTTGGAATTTTTTTCAGGTGATTTAATGTAACTTAAAACTACTATAGAAACTTCAGAGCAAAGGAAGTGGCTTAATGATCCTGAAGGGATTTCTTCTGATGGTAGCTTTTGTATTATCAAGTAAGATTCTGTTTTCAGTTGTGTGTAAGCAAGTTTTTCTTAGCTTAGGAGAAATACTTTTCCATTGTTCAACTGCAAAACAAAGATGTTAAGGTATGGTTCAAAAATTGTGTAAATTATGTATTTTAAATGTATCTGTAAGTCATAACTGATTAAGAATTGTGATAGTTTAGCTTGAATGTCTCTTAGAGGGTGGGCTTTTGTTGATGAGGGAGGGGAAACTTTTTTTTTTCTGTAGACTTTTTTCAGATAACGTCTTCTGAGTCATAACCAGCCTGTGGCAGTATGATGGCCTAGATGCAGAGAGAACAGCTCCTTGGTGAATGATAAGTAAAGGCAGAAAAGATTATATGTCATACCTCCATTGGGGAATAAGCGTAACCCTGAGATTCTTTACTACTGATGAAAACATTATCTGCATATGCCAAAAAAAAAAAAAAATTAAGCAAATGAAAGCTACCAATTTAAAGTTACGGAATCTACCATTTTAAAGTTAATTGCTTGTCAAGCTATAACTACAAAAATAATGAATTGATGAGAAATACAATGAAGATCCAATGTGCATCTCAAAATACTGCTTTTACAAAAGCAGAATTTAAAACAAGTGAAATGAAATGAAAATGGTTATACTACATTAATCCTGGAATAAAAGAAGCCGAAATAAAAGATGAGTTGGGATCAAGTGGATTGAGGAGGCTGTGCTGTGTGCCAATCTTTCGTTTGCCTCAGACAGGTATCTCTTCATTATCAGAAGAGTTGCTTCATTTCATCTGGGAGCAGAAAACAGCAGGCAGCTGTTAACAGATAAGTTTAACTTGCATCTGCAATATTGCATGTTAGGGATAAGTGCTTATTTTTAAAGAACTGTGGAGTTCTTAAGTATCAACCATGGCAGTTTTTCCTGACCCCTTCCCTAGGGGATTTCAGGATTATGAGAAATTTTCCCATCGAGCCTCTTTAAAATTGTAGGATTTGTTCCTGTGGGCTTCTGTGATGGGATAGTACACCTCACTCAGAGGCATTTGCATCTTTGAATAATTCCTTAAAAGCCTCTGAAGTGATTAGTGCCTTAATGCAAGACTAAGGAAATTTGTTTAGCATTGCATCTCTGAAGACTGAAAGGAATAGCATGATGTGCTGTTAGAATCAGATGTAAATCTTGCTAAAATTTACATGTTGTGTTGTGATGTATATTGTGCAGAAAACCATTAAATCAATCAAAATAATAAACTATTTTTATTAGAGAATGTATACTTTTAGAAAGCTGTCTCCTTATTTAAATAAAATACTGTTTGTAGTTTAGTGTTGGGGCAATCTTGGGGGGAATTCTTCTCTAATCTTTCAGAAACTTTGTCTGCGAACTCTTTAATGGACAAGATCAGGATTTGAGCGGAAGAACGAATGTAACTTTCTTAAGGCAGGAAAGAAATTTTATACTTCATAAAGTGATGAGCATATAATAATTCCAGGCACATGGCAATAGAGGCCCTCTAAATAAGGAATAAATAACCTCTTAGACAGGTGGGAGATTATGATCAGAGTAAAAGGTAATTACACGTTTTATTTCCAGAAAGTCAGAGGTCTATAAATTGACAGTAGAGTAATGAAGTACTTTTTCACATTTCCAAAGTTTGCATGTTAACTTTAAATGCTTACAATCTTAGAGTATTAGGCAATGTTTTACACTATTGGCCTTTTATAGGCATTGTGGGGGGGCCTGTGGGTTTTTAAAGAATTTTCCTTTGCAGAGGCATTTCATCCTTCATGAAGCTGTTCAGGATTTTGACTTGCATATGAGTGCTTGGCTCTTCCTTCTGTTCTCCTAGTGAGTGTATGAGACCTTGCAGTGAGTTTATCAGCATACTCAAAATTTTTTTCCTGGAATTTGGAGGGATGGGAGAAGGGGGTGGGGCTTACTTGTTTTAGCTTTTTTTTTACAGACTTCACAGAGAATGCAGTTGTCTTGACTTCAGGTCTGTCTGTTCTGTTGGCAAGTAATAATGCAGTACTGTTCTGATCCCGCTGCTATTAGAATGCATTGTGAAACGACTGGAGTATGATTAAAAGTTGTGTTCCCCAATGCTTGGAGTAGTGATTGTTGAAGGAAAAAAATCCATCTGAGTGATAAAGGCTGAGTGTTGAGGAAATTTCTGCAGTGTTAAGCAGTCGTGTTTGTGACTGAAGCTAAGTACGTTTTGCTGTGCGTTTTTAGGTAAAATGCTTTTTCTTCATTTCTGGTGGTGGGGGGGCACTGAAGCCTTTAGTCTTTTCCAGATGCAACCTTAAAATCAGTGACAAGAAACAAATGCCAAACAAGCAACAATCTTCAAGAAATTTAACTGGCAAGTGGAAATGTTTTAACAACAGTTCAGTGATCTTAGTGCATTGTTTTTTTGTGGGTTTCTCTCTCCCCTCCCTTGGTCTTAATTCTTACATGCAGGAACATTCAGAACAGCAGACATACGTATGAGAAGGGCCAGAGAAGCCAGACCCAGTAAGAAAAAAATAGTCTATTTACTTAAAACAAACCAAACATTCCATTTTAAATGTGGGGATTGGGAACCACTAGTTCTTTCAGATGGTATTCTTCAGACTATAGAAGGAGCTTCCAGTTGAATTCACCAGTGGACAAAATGAGGACAACAGGTGAACAAGCTTTTTCTGTATTTACATTCAAAGTCAGATCAGTTATGGGACAATAATACAGTATTGAATAAATTTCAGCTTTATGCTGGAGTAATCGGCATGTGAGCCAGCTATGTTGGCATGGGGGTGGAGGGGTGAGGTGGGCGCTAAGCCTTTTTTTAAGATTTTTCAGGTACCCCTCACTAAAGGCACCGAAGGCTTAAAGTAGGACAACCATGGAGCCTTCCTGTGGCAAGAGAGACAACAAAGCGCTATTATCCTAAGGTCAAGAAAAATGGTGTCAGCCTCACCTGATTTTTATTAGTAACAAGGACTTGCCTCAACTCTCTTTCTGGAGTGAAGCATCCAAAGGAATGCTTGGAAGTACCCTGGGCTTCTCTTTAACATTTAAGCAAGCTGTTTTTATAGCAGCTCTTAATAAAGCCCAAATCTCAAGTGGTGCTTGAAGGGGAGGGAAAGGGGGAAAGTGGGCAACCAGTTTTCCCTAGCTTTTCCAGAAGCCTGTTAAAAGCAAGGTCTCCCCACAAGCAACTTCTCTGCCACATCGCCACCCTGTGCCTTTGGCCTAGCACAGACCCTTCACCCCTCACCTCGATGCAGCCGGTAGCTTTGGATCCTTGTGAGCATGATCCATAATCTGTTTCAAGGTAACAATGGTGCCGAGGTCTCTGGTGGGTTGTACTATACTAGAAAAGGCCATTAATTTGCCTTCAAATAGTTAACAAAGATATTAAGACCACAGCTAAGTAGTTCTGTATAACACCCAGTAACTAAAACCAACTTAAACCAGTAAGTGGAGAAATAACATGTTGAAGAGCTGTGATGTTGGGTGGGACCGTGTAACTTGTAGACTGAAGGATAGGCATTTTAGTGGCTGAGAGAGGACTGCTGGGTGGGAATGCAAAAATTCTCTGCTAAGACTTTTTCAGGTGAACATAAGAGACTTGGCCAAGCTAGCATCTTAGCGGAAGCAGATCTCCAATGCTCTTCAGTAGGGTCATGAAGGTTTTTCTTTTCCTGAGAAAACAAGTTTTGTTTTCTCAGGTTTTGCTTTTTGGCCTTTAGCTTTTTTTAAAAAAAAAAAGCAAAAGATGCTGGTGGTTGGCACTCCTGGTTTCCAGGACGGGGTTCAAATCCCTGCGGCATCTTTGCTTGTCTACCAATCTGTCTTCTGGACTCTGTATTTCTCCTTATCTCTGCAGGTCCTAGTTCTTGGAGTTTTGGGGAGGTGGGAGGTAACAGCACAGTATCTTTGAACTATATACATCCTTGATGTTTAATTTTTCAGGAGCTTAACTTGATTGTATATTTGTATTTACAAAAGAACCTAATGTAATGCCCTGTCTTTTTTAGGTAATACGGTGCAACTGGTACTTTGAGAAGCCCTACTGCTGAAAACTTAACATTTTTTTTTTTTTTTTGTATTTATCTTACCTTTTTGTTTTGTTTTGAGATGGAGTCTCACTCTATTGCCTAGGCTGGAGTGCAGTGTCTCCATGTTGGCTCACTGCAGCCTCCACTCCCCCAGGTTCAAGTGATTGTCCTGTCCCAGCCCCCCGAAAAGCTGGGATTATAGGTGCCTGCCACCTCGCCTATAAGCTCTTTTTTGTCTGTTTTTGTTTTTAGTAGAGATGGGATTTCACCGTCTTGGCCAGGCTGGTCTTGAATCCCTGACCTTGTGATCTATCCGACTCGGCCTCCCAAAGTGCTGGGATTACAGGCATGAGCCACCGTGTCCGGCCAATTTAACAATTTTATGTAATAAAAATGGAGACGCTCTAAATTGTTCTTTTGTGTATGAATAAATCTATGAGTAAGTGGGAATAAACTGATTCTTTGTGGGCTTGTTCCTAATAAACCTTTAGATTTACAAACACGGCTACAGACAAACATGGCTCCCTTAATTACGGCATAATCTTAAGGAGGGTAGGGGCTTGAAGTGGGGTGGGGGGTGCGGAATTTGGGGGAGGGCTGTGGGTGAGTGGCCTACTAAAAAGCTCAGTAACCCCACAGAAAAATGGGAACTTTAGCGTCCTTTCCACTGTTCAGCAACTGGCCGTGAGCTGGGCTGAGTGGAGAGAAGAGGGGTGGGGGGGTGTGTGTGCACACATGCACACGTGCTCTGGTTCCCCCTTAACCGTCTCAAGTTGCTGGGTTACTGAGGATCACATTTTCCTTTTACCAGTTGTCACTTTTGTCTCATTGAATGTACTGCAAGGCTAGTAGTAGCATCTGGCTGTTGGGAGGACTGGCAAGGATCTCAGGTGAAACAACCTCCCTGGCCCTCCTTACCCTTAAAATGCCCCTGATGTGTCAGATCTAAGAGAGAGACTTCCAGCTTGGGGAACCTGTGATTGACCACACCCTCAATGGAGGGGCCTCAGTAAACCCAGACCTAGGAGAGAAGGGACCCATATGTGAAGAATCTTTCATCCTGGGGAACCTGTGGTTTGCCGCCCCTTGAGCCTCAGAAGCAGAGCTTTTTTTTTTTTTTTTTTTGAGACGGAGTTTTGCTCTTGTTACCCAGGCTGGAGTGCAATGGTGCGATCTCGGCTCACCGCAACCTCCACCTCCTGGGTTCAGGCAGTTCTCCTCCCTCAGCCTCCTGAGTAGCTGGGATTACAGGCACGTGCCACCATGCCCAGCTAATGTTTTGTATTTTTAGTGGAGATGGGATTTCACCATGTTGACCGGGATGGTCTCAATCTCTTGACCTCGTGATCCACCTGCTTCGGCCTCCCAAAGTGCTGGGATTACAGGCGTGAGCCACCGCGCCCAGCCAGAGCTATCTTTTTCTTACTGGCATTACATTTTGCAAATGGAGAGGTAGACTCTGGGTCTTTTTGCCAAGGCAGCAGAGCTGGAGTTTGAATCCTAGTCATTCAACCCTTAAACCTCTATGTTGCTGTTTCTTCAGTGTGTAAAATATTCTCATAGATGAAGCAATGGCCCAGCAGGTCAGCAGCAGACCAGCCCCCAACTTACCCAGCCTCTGTAGGCCTTGGCCACAGGAGCTTTCTCTTCCCTTGAAGTGATCTAATGGGGGAGGAGCTGTCTCTCCGGTGGTTATGGAAGAAGCTCAGTTAGACGCTCTCCTAAGTTGATTGCTAAGTGTCTATTCTGAACTGATGCCCAGTCAGTTTCGTATGAAGAAAGTCGTTTTTCCAAAGCAGGAGGTTTTGTGGAGGCACAAAGACTTCACTGGAGAGCAAATGAGTAAGAGTAGGAGCTGGGGATTTGACGGGAGCTGCATGGTTCCTGGTAATAAGGAAGTTGTCTAGGACTGAAAATGTTAAGGTCAGACACTGATCACAGCAACAGGAAAAGGCTGAAAAGTAGGCCGGAAGTTATTTCCAGCTTCGGAGCACAAAAAGGGAATGGAGAGCACAAATTTCCCTAAAGGGAAATTTGTCCAAATCAAAGGGACTGCTTTTTTTTGGAGACAAAGTCTCACTCTTTCCCCAGGCTAGAGTGCAGTGGCCCAATCATGGCTCACTGCAGCCTCCGTCTCCCGGGTTCAAGCAATTCTCCTGCCTCAGCCTCCCGAGTAGCTGGGACTACAGGAGCACCATCATGCCCAGCTAATTTTTGTATTTTTTTTAAAGTAGAGACA